TTGTGTGGTCCTTCAGATTTCATTTGATTTTCAATTTTTAGCAGGTTAACCAATGAATTTTTTAATCATCCGCCCAAAACAAACTCGCCCCCCAAAAAGTGAATGTTGCCAAGCCCTCTCAGCGGCCATTTTTCAAATGACATCCCTCATCTTCGGCGGGCTCTTCTGACTAATTTTTAATCCCATTTTTGTCTGCTCTGCCCCTAGATGGGTGCTCCTGAATCTACAGAGATGATCCTGGGCCATATTGACACAATCCCAACATTTCTTGGCCAAAATAGACCCCTCTTTTTGAAACAATCTCGGCGGGGTTACTTTTTGTGGCGGAGAATTTTCCTTGAATTGGGACACTGCACCCCAGAACTGTCTTTGATTACGATCCCTGATCGTGAAGTGAAATCATGTGACAACTCACGGGTTCATGGCTTACATAAGATTGAGAACGTGTACGTGATTGGGGGTAAAATGCCAGTTTCCTAACTCCTAGCCAATAGGAATTTACGTAAAATAAACTATGATAGACGGTTTGCAGCACACGAATGTATCGTCTGCATCGTTGAATCTACGGTTACAAACGTAACAGGAAAACAGGTTAAGACAGGAACCAGGCTTGTTTCTACTTTTTGGAAATTGGAATTGGACCAGGTGAGATTTGTTTTTGGTGGATTATAGCCCCCATTGATGTGCATTTATTAAGGCTAGCCTATGTTAGTTGTTTCTTGCTTTTTCCCGTTTCAAATTCCAAGCAACTTAGCATAGTCGTACCTCGTCCGACATGTCCGAGTAAAAAAATCATTGACTGATGGAGGTAGAGCTACTACATGTAGAACTTAGAAGTAACATGAGTAAGCTAGGCTTTGACCCTAAACATTTGGAGTGGACAGATGTTTTATTATTTGTCCAGATGTTTAAACGTTTAGACAAGTGTTTAAAAAGGGTGTAAGCTACATGTACATGGGACAGAACTTGTCCATGTTGGCCCACTCGCTTACATCATTGCAAGTTAAATGTAACTACATGTAGTTTAGGCCTACATCATACATGCCAACTTGTGTTGCCTGTAGTTTGGTGATGATAAATCCATTCAGCATAGGCATGATAGGCCTAGGCCTGTTAGTTATTATGAGGCCTAGCTTTATAGTTTGAGCCCATACTCAGACTAAGAATGTGACGGACGCATATTTGACTTTTCTGCCACAGCTTACAAATGCTTATAGCCTAGCTGGAGTTTATTTTTGTTGAACGGTAAATGATAAGTAACCCTGTGAATATTTCCGAGACCTAAAGTTTTTTGCAAGGAGGCGGATACCGAACACAGGACAAACCGGCTATACAGACACACGGGACATACAGGTAACAGTTCACATGAAATAATGGACTACCGCATCCGTTCAGCATATTAGTACCATTGTGACCACACCAAGGGCACCATACTGTCCTTATACCAGCCAACAACCAGGACATGAATCTGCACATGTGGGCCTTAACCCCGATACAGGTCAGCTAACTGTATCCGACCTCCACAAAGACTACATGTACATGTAACACACATGCACAAAATTATGTAGGGCAGTTACAGGGCAAAGAGCAACTTCTTCTTGTACCAACTAGCCTGAAAGGTCTGTACGGAATGAAATGAGCACCGGCTTGTGGCCAGGTGCGAGCTTACAAAATGTGAAATCAGTGAACACCAGCAAGGAATCCTGAATGCGATTCTGTCAGTCAGCAGTAAATTCACCTACCCGCATGAACCCCCAAAATGCACACAACATAGCTGCCTTAACCCCTTGATGCTGGGACTTTCTTCTGAAAGCCGACTCCGAGAATTCCAGCCTCGCTTGGCCACGAAGGCCACCTGCCAAACCGCAAATTCTCGGTTTGTGGCCCAGGGTGCTCTGCACGCTTTGAATTACATGGTGAAAAGGCTGATGTTCGGTGGCATGCGGCTCTACTCACGCTTCCACATTCCCATTGCCTCTTTTCAAAGTGGGAGCTATTGTGAAGCTGGTGATTATGATGCAAATTTGACCTTTTCATTTCTTGGCAACACACAAAGGCCAATCACCATATATACAAGAGCCAGGGTATGCTTTCTTTCACGGTGTTCGCTCGAGTGTGGGCCGAGAATAATAGCTGAAAAGCGGGCTGAGGGATCTCAATTTTTACGGTGGCTCTTACCGCTTCCCTGTGCGAAGGGGTTAAATAATAGTTCTTCATAATGAGTCTCACAAATGTGAGGTAAAGAGCCCAAAATGCGTACAAGGAGCGGCAATGTAATGGGAGTTCGTTCTTCAAAGCGGTCGCGCCGGCAACCTTCTAACAACTTTGAAAGTCCTTAGTTGGGTCAGCATAACCATGAAATTTATGATAAAACCCTACCCCCGCCACATAAGTGGCAATGGTGGATGGCGCAAAACCCCACAGGGAAAGCCAAGCAATAAACTCCCAAATCACACTAGGTTGTACTGGCGATAAAAGAGCCGTTTGCTGACTTGTGAATTCACAAAAAACATCCTAACCTGTGGCATAAGTCTTGTTACTTGTAGGCACTGAGGTAGGCTCTATCATGTTCCCTATATTCTTTCTTACTTACTTCTTCATTTGACACTACCATTAGCAATTTGTTTTAGTTGAGGTTGACATGGCAACTGAACACACCCAGTGAACATTCCTGACTTAATGATGCACATTTACCACTACAAATGTTTGACTGGTTTCATGTTGACATTGTCATTGTGAGTTTGTATATTGCAAGACAAATTTCAGACCCAAGGTACATGTAATCTCACTTTTCATTTTCAGACATTTCCCCTCATAGAACAAAATATACCCCCAGAGCCACAGATCACAAAAAGACTTCTATATGAAATATCCTGCATTTCAACTTAGAATTTGATTTAAAACATGATTGAAAGGAAGATGTTGGGACTTTCTGATTGGAAGGGAAAAAATGCAGTTCACTAGCTACATGTAGGCCAGGTTGAGATTGAGATTCACAACAATTCTGAATTCAAAAGTCAAACTTGATCAAGAGGCACACCCAGGTTTTGGTCAAGGGGAGTTTATCCCCAAAATAGCTTATGATGCTCTCAGAGCCAGTGGCTTAATGTGTTTTAGATGTACGTGTATATTGTATCTTTTTTCAGGAAGTAAAAAAAAACATTGAAAATGTGGGGTCTTTTAGAAAAGTCCCTGAGGGGACCCCCCTTGTGGGTGACTGAACTTGCAGGCTTTGCATGATGAATAACAACATTTCTTTATTCCAGTTTCCTCTTGAAATTGATATTACACTGTCGTGCAGACTGGTTTTGAATAGTTTACAGCAATATTTGGATTCTTGGGAGAACATGAAAGACATACCAATGTATACGTGTACATGCACATGCACGTATAGATTTTGCACGTATAGATTTTGCCCTTTACACACTGATGTAAACATATCGTTCATATGTTTGCATGAAAAACAATGCCTAAATGCTGGCAATAAATTTAGCAAATAGAATAAATCCTGAAGGACGCTGTTTAAGGTACAAAGGTAGACAACCAATCACCAGCAAACAGTACGATGAATATTCTTCATCTTTAAACTGTTCTGCCTTGCACGTCATATCGTTAGACACCTCTGAGTCCAAAGCCAAAAGTCGCCGTTATTTTGGGGTTCTGCATTGGTAGCGTGTAAAATCTTGGCATATTGCTGTCATCTGTTACTCTCCCCTCCCCCCCATGGTCCACCCCAGGTCTTATGTCATGGGGTAATACATTTTCAAGACAAAAAGTAGGAAGTTTTATCACTCTTAAATATTTTAACATCGACAAAGTAATGGGAAAATGTCCATTTTTTTTTCACACACACTACCCACGCACTTGGACTTATTAGGTCAGTTGGGAGAGGGACTGTTTTTAGATGTATTTGAACTAAATACTCTATCATCTCATCCCATCAGTACCAACAACTAAACACTGTATTAATGACCAATTTTGATAAACCAAATATTAAAATTGCCCTATGTGATTCAGAACATTTTCACTTGAAGAAAAAGTTGTCATGCTGGGGAATTGTATGTAAATATGCCTTATTGATCTCTTCATGCAATACTTTGTGAGAGCATTTTTTTCAAGTTCTCCATGTTTCCTTCTTGGAGGCTGTTTCCTTAGGCACAAATTATGAGAGCCACTTAACACCTGTTAGTGATGACCATTACCCCACTGGTTTTGATTCACCTGTTATGTTTTTGAAATGGGCAATTTCAGCATTTACCCTTGTTTCCAAGAACAAGTTGTAGGTAACCTATGGCCTTTGTGAGAAATTGTTTTGCTTAATACAGGAATATTAATGCCATCAGTTGCCCTAAGCAACTTTAAAGGTGGACATTTAAAAGATAACTTATAAACAAAACTTCAGTTTTAAATTATAATTGAAAACTAAATGGAACCATGCCTCCACATAGATATTTAAATGTGAAAAGATGCAATTAATTCCCACGGGTGTTGTTTTCTTGACACATTTAGGCTTTGAGTCGGTTGGCAAGTTCTTGCCTCAAGATGAACCTTCTGACGGCAGCGTTTTTACTACTGCTGGGAATAGCTGGGTCTGTTGAAGCCTCCCACAATGGTCTGGCTCTGACTCCGCCCTTGGGCTGGAATTCCTGGGAGAGATTCCGCTGTAATATAGACTGTGATGTAGACCCAGAGAATTGTATCAGGTAGCTGTGGGATAATTGAGTGATTTCAAATAATGGTGAAGTTCTTCATAGGGCATATAGACACCTGTGATCGGTAATTTTGATATGTGTGACATAGATCAGTTAACTATGCATCCAGAAGAGATTGGGAGAAAGCTGGAAAAAGAACGACACATTTTAGAGAAGAGATTTCAAGTCGATCCTGAGTAGAACATTTTATAATTTATTATTACACAAAAATGAACACAATGAACACAAAAATGAACACAAAAATTTCACGATATGGAATCAAATCCAAAAAGGGAAACTTAAAAAATTTCTCTGGGGCAAGGTTAATATGCCAGGTACATGTAGGCCTTAAAGGTGTTTCCACCATATGTCAAATTTCACTTTTTTCCAGTGAGAGACTATATGCAGAGATGGCCAAGGTGATTGCTACTGAAGGCTACAAAGAAGCCGGCTATGAATATATCTGCATGGATGACTGCTGGATGTCAAAAACACGTGATAAAGATGGACGACTCCAACCAGACCCCAAAAGGTTCCCTAACGGACTGAAGGCACTAGCTGACTACGTGAGTGACTGGGCCTGACAAGCTTATTTTCTTGTTATTCAGACTTCACATTTCACTCCTCTTCCAGTTGTGCCTATTTTACTTTGAAATACCAGTGTGTGAAATTACATGTAAGCCAAAAAGTGGACGGTAAAAACTAAATATGGGAATGGCACAATCAGTTTTGCTCCATCATCAGCAGTTAATCAGACATATACCAAGGTCACATGAACACAGACTCACAGTTTATTACATCACAGAAACTAGAGTGTAAACATGGATGGGATATTCATTTTGGGGCCTTGACCTTTACATTTCCTGGACATTTTGTCCAACCGCATATGCTTTTGGTCAGACATAAATGGTCAGTAACCGGTCTTAATGTCACACTCTGGGATATTAATTGAGGGATGTAAATGCACGTAAGCTCATGGGGGTTGTTACCAGTTCTGCAATTTTTCATCCAGTCAGATTTACAGAAAGAAGATATAAATTTCACTCTGCTCAAGCTGTGGAGTGTAGAAACCACCTTAAACTGCAAAACTGTCAGAAGTCCTGAACTCAATTTGCATTTTACATTAAAATGAGAACTTTTCTTGGATTAATTTGGTACTCACTTGTAATTTTGTATGTCTTCTGTGAATTGTTTACTGAATACCGAACAATACAGAGCTTTCATGCATTGAGAAGTTTTTGTGTTTCCTCTGCATAATACATGTATATGTACCACAGATCCATTCCCTGGGTTTGAAGTTCGGGCTGTACCAATCAATGGGGCTCTTCACCTGTGAGAAATACCCTGGCATCTGGGGCCATATTGACATTGATGTCCAGACGTATGCAGAATGGGGCATAGATCTGGTCAAGATGGATGCCTGTTGGAATCTTGGCAAGGAGAAGATGGGAGAAGGTACATGTCTTTAAAAAAGCAGGATTTAACATCCTGTGCCAAAACTTTAAGGTCATTTCCAAGGGGTGAGATTTGTCAGGATTTTTACTGATTTAAGGAATTTTCATCAGGATTTTCTTGACCTTTCCAACGAGCTCTTTTCAAATCTGGAAAATCCTGAGGTTTATGATGAAGGTGTTTTTATGCATTCAAACACAAGAAATAGGCATTCAAAGGGGTTCCTTTGGGCAAACACAAATGTATACCATGGACCCTACATGTATGCTGCCATGGGGCACTTAAAACTTCTGGGGATTATGTCACGGATATTTCATTTTCTTCCAATGTCACCCCTGCATTTCAGAAGTAGTATAAGCAAAAGATTAATGGTTTTATTTTCCACATGATGAATGTTTTCATGTCGATGCAATAGTAGAAAATGAACTCTATCAGGAGCCAATTAGAAACTGTTTTCTGTTTTTGCGGAAATAGATTTTACATCTATTATTTTATTTTATCATTTTATTATTTATTATTTGATTAAGATAAAATATGCCAAAGAGTGTATTACATGAAACCATGACTTGTTTGAACACCTGCTGTGCATTTCTTATTTGCAGGGTACATTAATATGTCTAAGGCTCTTGACCACAGTGGAAGGCCCATCCTCTTCTCATGTGAGTGGGCACACGAAGCTAGTGTAAGTGCATAGTCTACCTTAGTAAGACCGGATTAAAACATTTACAACAATGATTGATGAGGGTGCAGTCGTGAAGACACGTAGACTAATCTGAGGCCGTGTCCGAAATGGGCTTCCAGAGCTACGGCTAGGTCTATTGTCTACGGGTCCCCATGCATTTCCAATGGAGTGAAGACCTAGACCTAGCTCTAGACAAGAGATTCGGATGCAGCCTTAGTAGACGCCAGTACTGTGATGGCATCAGAATCGTGCACATGCACCTGCTTCATGAATGTGGTGAGACTGCAGTGACGGTTTCTACTTTTGGTTGCTAAACCTATATCACTCCCTTCTTGGGATTCGACATTACTTTCATTTCATCCGAAGTTCCTTTTGAAATTAAGACTTAAGCTGGAGAAATATAAAGTTCAAAGAGGGACCAAGCTGTGGGACTGGAAAGCTTAATATTTGGGCCAATTCACACTTTCATTTCACACCATTTCACACTTTGTATTAACCCTAACTCCCTAGGGTGTGTGTGAAACAGTATTAAAATTGGAGGATGTGGGACTTTTAGGCTGTTGCTATGTAATGAATCCAATTTTCTTTCAATTAAGAGGGAAAGACCCATTATCTATTCATCCAACTCTCGCTCTGCCAAATACCTCAACAATTGCAATTTATTTCAGTGTTCACAGTAGAGCCCAGTGATTTTGTGCAAAAGTAACCCCCCTCCCCCACTGAGGGGTCAGAGAGGCAGGCAGGGCTGACACTAAAGTGTCTCTTGCCGCCATGTACCCAGCTCCTACCAAATGACCCTATTAAGTTGATACATTTTGAAATAGTAGTTACTGTGATGTGCATGACACGCCTTGAATGCAGATAACTACATACGGTGCATTGGCATTAGAGGGTACTGCTGTGAGGCATCAAGGTGCCCTCTGTTGCTCATGCACAAGGCTCTTAGCCATCTTTAAAGTACTAACAGGTTCACTGGAATCAAACCTTCAACCTGACCTTGTGTTAAGCTACTAGCTCATGTCATTCAGTTAAAACAATGAAACTATTTTAAACCTTCTGATTTGAATTCACAGTTTTGTGTCTTGTTGTTCTCTGCAGCCCAACTTTACCGAGATCGCAGAATATTGCAATTCATTCAGAGACTACGGAGACATCCAGGATGACTGGAACGTTGTTCTGCACGTGATTGACTGGTTTGCTGAGCATCAGGCTGTGCTTTACAATGCATCTGGACCCGGCGGCTACAATGATGCTGACTTTGTAAGAGTTTGGTCACGCAATATTCAGAAGTAGTGGAAGGGCTTGAATCCGATAATATTTGCAATCAAGTTTAGACTTCACTGTCGGTTTAGATTGTGAAATCAAATGTCTGAATCAAATGATGAGAGCTTTCGTTGCAAGAGAACAAAATACTTCCTTTTGCCAAACTAGTCCAGAGATTAGAAAAAAATGGCCAGCAAGGATCAGCATTTATAAAGTCCAACTTTGTATCAGATCACGGTTGTGGCTTGTTGTTCTAAAAAGTTGGTATTTTTGGACAAAATAATTGTACTGGTTATATGAAAGATTTGTTGTGGAATTACAGCATTCGAAAGTGATATCTTATAGAGTATGCAAGCTCTTGCATGGCATAGCATTTGATTTTAGAAACCAGGAGGGCGGAAACCAGAGAGTCCAAGACTCAATTTTTTTTCATGTAGACGACCAGAGTCAGAATTATCTATTTTGTCCCATCACTAATAAAATAATCTGTGTGTTCTTCAATAATGGCACCATCACTTGTTGTGGAATCTTTAGCTGTAAGCTGTAAAAAAATGCTTCAAATTTTAAATCTTTTTGGGTCCAAAACTTTAAATTGTTCAAATCAGAACATAGTATGCTTGAAATAGACTTGCTTCCAAGTTTCATATAATTTTTTTCAACTCCACAACCCAAACTTTGAAACTAACACGTTTGCAAGATTTTGACGTGGACTTCTTTTCATCATCATAATTCATTTATTTCAATAAATTTTTCCTAGGTTTTTTGTGAAGTTTATGACATTGCTAATGTTACTTGCATCGTGTTGTTGGGGCATGATCTCTACCTACATTTCATGTGGTGATTTGGGTTTGTGGCTTCCAACTAGTGCCCACTGAAAAAAAAAGATTTTGATACATGGGAAATAAAGTCCATATAGGGCTTAGTAGCCGAGTTGAGCTGCTGGCATGGTGTGTGTTCCGGAGGTCACATGTTCAAATTCTACCCAATCAATTACGTTCTCCAGGGACTTACTGTTTTCTGCTTTGGTTCAGATCATAGCGGGTGATTTCTCCTTGAGCACAACTCAAGCCAAGTCGCAGTTTGCCATGTGGACCATGATCACCTCCCAGCTCTTCCTGTCCAGCGACCTGCGGACCCTGGATCCCCAGGCCAAAGCAATAGTTCTGAACAAAGAGGTCCTTGCAGTCAATCAGGATAAGTTGGGCAAGATGGGTCAGCGGATATACAAGGTTGGTATATTTCTCATGCAGTTAAGAATCTATTTCCATGCATACCAGGGTAAATCCTTCTTGGACGAGTGGTACTAATGTTTGCCAACTTCTGTCAGATTTATGTATTGTAAATCCAGGGTTGGCAGTGTTTTCATGCATCCAAGATGTGGTGTGGATAAGTTCTCTCAAGTTACTTATAAATCACTTTCAAAAGTCAATCACATGCTCACTCCCCAAGGAAGTCACAAACTATCCAAATGCATTGTGACAAATGCAAAGGTTGTAGTTCAGATACCCTGTTGTAACTGTGCAGACTCCTGATCGGGCTAGAGGTCAGTGTTGGTGGCCTCGAGGCCGATTTTTATGGCCTCGACCTCGGAGGGCGTGGCCTCAGTCTTGGCCTCGGCCTCGGAGGTTGTGGCCTTGACTACAACACTGAAAGCACAAGGACAGCTACATACTTTGTCATTCCAAACAATACAATGGAAACTTGGCATACACCCAACCCAATGTGCACATCAAGTAAACAAGACAGTCACTTGGTAAAGAGTAATCATAAACTTGAAAGTACTTGCCGTAATTGTATTTGCTAAAGCCACAGTTATGCCCACGGCCTTTGTCACTTCAAACTTAATTTTTTTCTGATGTTTGAAATTGTCGTTGCGGTTGCAGGACTCAACATTTGAAATCTGGACCAAGGAACTAATCAACCATTCCTACGCAGCAGTTTTGTTCAGCCGGGCCACCGACATGCCCCACAACCACACTGTCACCATGAAAGAGCTAGGCTTTCCTGATCCTATGGGCTACTCTGTACGTGACCTGTTTGCCAGCAAAGACCTGGGGTTCTTCAAGCCGTCCACTCCACTGAGCTTCATGGTGGATCCCAGTGGGGTGGTACTAATCAGAGCAATGCCAACGAATGCAATGAGGAAAAGACCCTAGGAAAATATCCAAGAAACACCGAAAATGTTTGGTTGAAAAAAAAGAGAGTAAACTACCGGGCAGTTTTTGGTAGCTTAGAATTTTGAATTTCATTGGTAACGAATCAGTAAGCGTACAATGTTTCTACAGCCAGATATTGATTAAAAGTAAAACTGTAGCAGTTGATACTTACCGAGCATGTAAACTTATAATTTGTGCTATTTGTTTTTAATTTGAAAAAGTAGTGAAAAATTACAAAATACTCCGGGTGATCTCTAGATTATGTAAAAAATTTGGAAGTTTTGTTTCCATATAGGAAAGTCTCAATCAGGATTTCAATTTGCATTTCCCAAATTATTTGATTACAAGTCTATCATATACATGTATATATCGTGGATATTATGGTAATTTTTTTACAGTTCAGTACTGTATGGATTTTGTGATAAAATCTTTTAGATGAAATCTTTACTTTTTCCACTCACCTGAAATATGATGGTACCTTCCCTTTTGCAAAAGGATATGTGTTGTCTGTGATTGAGGTATTATAATGGGTTTTGTTGCTCTGAAAAGGTACAAGCTTTATCTCTGCCAAAAAAATTAGCGATTCCCTGTCTTTCTCGAATAATCAATGCTGATGTATGTTTCTAGGACTTAGTAATCCATATTTTTGGTCAGTGTTTTGTGTACAATATCTGCTCTTAGACTGTGCAAAACGGGGAGTGGGGGGGAGACGTGCACTGGGAGGCACGCTGCCTCTCTTCAGTCATTTTCAATTTCTTTTTTAGGAATTGAAAGTTCCTGCATTCTGGAAGCATTACTAATGTTATTTCTTGGGGAAGAGGGGAATTGGACAGCCATTTGGGGGAAAAAAGGATCCACTTTTCCACCCTGACCCAAGACTTGGACCACACTCCACTGTGCAAGACGTATAGCAGTATTGGCATACCCAGTATTGCATTTGTGAAGGTACTCTGGGAAATGCTGCTAATTGTGCAGAAGAGCGGAATTGTCTTTATTACTTGGAACTCTTCTTTTTTTTTTAAACTGGACAATTTTCCTTAAGAGTAGTCCCTGTAAAGCACCTTTCCAAAGACAATTGCTGGACACAATGTGCATTATTTTAAAGACAATGAGAGTCATTAACCATTTGTTGCTTATCTTTGAGATAACAGTTAAACAAACAAACTGATTGTTTTAATCCTTGCATTTCAGTTGAATTGGCATCAAGTACAACGAAAAACTTGCAAAGACATTCAATTGTCGTACATCTGAAACAATTGTTCATTTTTGAAATAATTTTTGAACAAAGAATCAAATTACGAATATGTTTTTTCAGTATACTGCTGTATTCATCATCACGATTTTTAGATTGTTTTCCAAATAAGCCAGTGTACTGATGATATGTCTCACTTCGTTGTGTACTTTCCTATGGAGCCAATGGGGCCCACAGTGCACTGAGCACCATAGGAAAGTGGACAAGTAAACAAAGTCTGGCGTCATCAGTACACAGGTCTGTCTGTAGCCTCATTGGGATTTTAGCAAACTTGCTTTCTTATCCTGTTATTGTCATCAAAACTGTTGCATACCTCGAATGCTGATGAAAGTTGATGGTGTGGAGGGATAAATCCGGGCACTAGATCATTACCTGTATGTAGTTCTTTATGTAAGTGCCACCCCTCAGAATTGTTTGATAATATACTCTTTTCTACAAATTTGTTATATATTTAAATTATCCCAAAGTGGCATATGAACTTTCTTTAAAAAATGAATAATTGGTGAATGAAATTAAAACACACCTCTGAATGATTTGTGATTTTTCATGTCCAGAATGTTTTAATTTCATGCTCTGTGTGAGTGAATTCTATTGTTTAGGAATCGTCTTTTTAACAGAGAATTGGACTTTTAGATTTTCAGCACTGTTAAACTTTAGTTGTGACCTGATACAATAAGCATTACATATCCCTCATGTACAAATGGGTTCTTACAAATAAGTTGCTGACGTACAGCTAATTACAAACAGGTTTGGCAGGATGATCTTTTTTTCAATAGTCAAAAAAGGGTGCTTTCTTCTGTGAGTGTAATTTTGTAAAACTATTTCACGTCAGAAGAGGGCGCTACGTATGAAAACTAGACAGCACACATGTCACCACAAGATGTTGTGTTGCATGTTGAGCTAGCACGAATCTTTCTGGTGATAATTGACAAAACACTTTTAGATTTTTTACACGGACAGTTCTTAAAAGCTTTAAGTAGGCACTATGCTGACGTCCAAGAGTTTTGTGAAGAAGACAAAAAAAGGATCAGTTATCAAGGTAGTCAGAGAGCACTATCTTCGCGATGATATTTGGTGCGGTTCCGAGCTGTGTGAAATCTGTTTACAAAAATCACCTATTTTGGAGAGGCATCCGCAAATTGACAGCGATTTGTGTGATTTTCCACACTACGTGCTGCCAGACACCAATGTGCTCTTACATCAGGTAAACCTTACATTTTTTCTGCTACATTTCATTCAAGTTTGCTTTTTACAGTCCCGCAGGGGTGCTTTTACAAGTGTCTTGACTCTTGCTGTTTATACTTGTTTATGATGTTTTTACGGCATTTTGTAAATGTTTTCCAATGTATTTTGATTGTTGATTTGTTTTTACTTGCAAAATTGATAAATGAAATGAAGCTACCGGCACATGACCGGCTACCCCTAGCTGTGCAAAGGCTGTGGGGCCGAATGTCTGCCCATCTCCCATGGTTCTGGGGGTAGCTACCGGGTACATAGCTTTAGTATATAAAATTTATTCGATTGATCGAGTGAAGGCAGTACGCATATTAATAAGAGCAGATATTTGAGCCTGTTCTCTTTCGGTAGTTCTGTTTTATTAATGTGAAATCACACTGAAATTGCCAAAGGACGATCAGTGCTAGGCGTTATTTTGTAGTGCTTCGTACAAAGCATTCATGATGAAATTATGTGTAAACACAACAATTGTGAATGGACATCTTTGGTAAATGCATGTGTTTATTATTTTAGGGCAAGCCCTAATACCAGACACCTCTCCTATCGTAACATTAGGAAATTCTCTTCAACTGCCAAAAATTTCAAAAATTCTACAGAGATGTGAAAAAGAAGTCAGTAGATTGAACTAGTAAAGATTTCCGAAAAGCAAGGATTCTGTCGTATTTTGTGAGAGTTTATCTTCCCTGTCTTATAAACCTTGAATATTGTCATGTCAAGTAACTTTGATTGATACTTCCCAAGGTTTTAAACAAACATAACAGAGCCTGCATTGTAAGATATTACATTTTTCTTTCAGATAGACATCTTGGAAGATAATATCATCAAGAATGTTGTTGTGCTTCAGACTGTTCAACAAGAAGTAAGACTTTTGATGCATTCGCGAATGCGGCTAACAATTCATCCATGATTTCTTGCTCTCCAATTAGAGAATCTCCTTAGTTCCTGCAAGAGATTTTGCATAGATCATGTGCAAAACAAGAGAAATAAAGTTCTGTTCGTGATTTTATTCCCCGCAGGCCAAGCACCGTAGTCTTCCCGTCCACAAGAGAATGCGAGATCTCATTGCAAATGCTGACAAGAAATTCTATGTCTTCACAAATGAACACCACAGGTAACAACAACATACCTTACTCCTGACAGTGCACTTCGTCTTGTAGTTAGAAGGAAAATGGTTCCATCAAATTTAAAAGGACTATTTTTTCATAATATTACATTTTTATCAGATTTCCAAAGTTTGAATATATGGGAATGTTTGAGTTAAGTTGTTAAGTTGCCCATTGTGAAAATGAGATGTGTGAGATATGTGACCAAGCACCAGCAGTCACAAGTTCTGGGAGCAACATACACATTGGCTCGAAGGCCCGTGAATAGCAACTGCTGGTATTTTCACCAACGTATTAATTACCCTTGTTGACAAGAGAACCATCAGAATATATAAAATTGGAAGGCGTGGTCTTTGAACTTATTTCTTTGGATTCAGACACATGTATCAGTTTGAAGTTAAAAGAAAATCTTTTTATTTAAAGGGAAACATACTCGGAAAGGAAACCTGGAGAAACACCTAATGATTACAGTGACAGGTTGATCAGACGGGCAGCTAAGTGGTACAGAGATCACTTGCAGCTTGCAAGGAGACAGGAGTCAAAGGTCAGCAGTGGGGAAGACAGAGATGTGTCCATTGTGCTGCTGACGAATGACCTGTCTAACCGGGATAAAGCAAGGGAAGATGGCATGTTGGCGTATACGGGTATGTAGGTGTGAAATTGTCATTATAGAAAGTGGAAATGAAAAGGATGCCAGCTGAGGTTGACTAACTCTTCAAGTTTTGCACATGAGTGTTCTAACCCATTCTCATTGAATTATCGTGATGATAAGAGTTTGAAACTTGATCGGAAAGTTTGCTTTGAATGGTGACGTGTATTTTGAAATGCTTGACATTCCACAACACTTTAACCATTGCTCCATTTCGTTCTATTGACGTTACATGCAAAATTTGCGGATGCTGAGCTGCTTTGGAAGGTGTAGTGGGACAGGTGTAAGAAAACAAGAAATAAATTAGGAAAGAACCTGATGTAAACCTGTGCATGGGCTTTGCCGTGCAATGTACATATGGCTGGGTATGCTCTAGAATTGGATGTTATGTTATTTTGTCTAGATTGAAAATGTTTTCAACCCATCAACGGTCCATTTTTTCTGGGCCCATCCATGGTATGATCTTTGTTCTGTAACAACACTTGGAAATGAAAGACTTACATGTACGTATAGAAGTAATTGTGGATGGGCACAAAATATTCAATTTTCAAGCAAGTGTTCAATTTTGAGTCAATGTGGGGAGTGTTAGGGCAAGGAGGACTTCGGTTGACACATAAAAATGATATATACATGTTTGTTTACGGCATTTGGGGTAGTTTCACACCTGACGAACTAAATGACCTGATGTACCATTGTCCTTATTGCCTTGTAGTTCATGAGTATGTGAAGTCCCTTACAGCCAAGCCAGAGTTGATTGACAGGTTGGCTCAGATTGCCTCTGCTGAGAGGGAGAGAAAACAGGTGGGTGAACCTGCTGTAGAAAATTCACAGGAATGAGAATTACATCAGATCATTAGTACTACACTGGAGTACTGAAGTGAATACGTCATGCGCACAAGTAGTGTGTAAAAGGCATTAGCACGGAAACCAGCGCGTAAACCAACACACGTGCGTACTCCATTCTTTTGCACTGCACTTTCTGGTTCACAGTGACATCACACTTCAGTACTCTATTGAGTCTGACACAGTATGTGGTCACTAGTCAGTCACAAGTCATTTCAAGTTAAAAGACGAATCATAGTTTACGAATGCCTTGATTTGCATGTGACTTGACTCTTAACTGGGTGACAGGTGATGGACTGATTAGACCTTCCGAAGGAACAGACTGTAACATTGTAAGCCACACCCCTAGCTTCTACAACATATTTTTCCCGTAGGCTATGTGACATGAGCAGTGTACCGCCATATAAACCCAATTTAGACAGCAAATACTGAAACAAAATATCTTCACAGCAGTGTGTTTTTTTTTACCCGAAAAGAGTGTTTTAGTTTAGTTTCCTCCATTATTTTAACTTTGACAACTCCAGTATTGCTAGTAAGGTAACTATGTTCACACCTCACTGTTCCCAGTTCTTCTAAAGTCATCTCAAACTTGGCATCTTTATATTCTCCTGATGATGGACAGAGAGTTCTGTCCAAAGCAAACATTGAGTCTACTGGTTATTTTAAGATCCTGGCTCACTCACAAAAAAGATACATGGTGCTACTGTAAACTTTCATCTTATTGCTACATCCACCATGTAAACCATCAAATCATGTTGTCCATCTGTTGACTCAATCAAGAGGTTCAGTGTCTTTTGTATGTGGTGTGTATGTTTTCTCTTGTGTGGCAGCGAGATGCTGACATCAGTACAGACGGTGGGCGCAAGGTCTTGTTCCCTGAACACATGTCAACATCCCAGCTGCAGTCTGCCATCAAGAAAGGGAAGATCAAGCAGGGGACCTTCCACGCCAGCTCAGAGAATTTCAGGGAGGGACATGTCAGCATTCACGGCGAGGAACAAATGGTGTGTACAAAACAAGTGAAGTCCAGATAGATTGTGAATCAAAGGTTATTTGTCATAAGGGATCTCCATCAAAGCCTTCAATTAAGTTACTCGGGGTCAGACCTTGTATGAGACGAATTGCCCTACTTTTTGAAAGCTGATTTGTTCATTGGTGTTATTTTTATAGAAAATATTAAAGTATTTATCAGTTGCATCGTATCTAACATTATGTATCATTCAAAGGCACTGGTATGTTGTCAATATTCCTGTTTGTCCATTGTATATGATTAAGTTAATTTCATAGATTTTCTTTATATTAGGAGACAGATATTTAACCCTGTTAGGTCAAAAACTGATCAAGTTCTGTTTGATTTTTTAGAATTAGATTTGCTTTGTCTCTTTTGCATTAGATTTTTATCAAGGGCCTGGCCAATCAGAATCGTGCTGTGAATGGAGATGTTGTTGCTATAGAAATCCTACCAAAGCAACAGTGGGCCTGTCCATCCTCGATAGTTGCTGTTGACAATGCCAAAAAAGAGGAAGAAGGCGAGAAGGATTTTGAAGAGGTAAGAGCCTCAGCTGAGTGGATATTCAGCCCAAGGCTTTCAGAGCTGATTTTTTAGTAAAAAATCGACCAAGTTTGCCGACCAATGATTTGGAAGATAGCGGATGTTGTAGACTAATTCAGGGAGATGCCATAACTAATTTGGCACAGCACAAATGCAGGTGTTCTGAAACTTGATGCATACGTGTATTTTAACGAGTCACAGCACTGTTGGTGGAAGAGATATTTAACCACTTTGTGTCGGGGTGCCAGTGCCATCACTTCTGACCCTAACCCCCTAGGGACCATTGAAATCCTGCATAACCTTGTTGGGTTCAGCATGGTTAGGGCTAATGGCTTCTAAATCTTATTGCTGAATTGGTTTATAAGCTGTGACCCCTAGGGCCCAATATCATGGTGCTGCTAAGCACATGAGTTTATGCCAGCAGACATTCTGCGTATTTCATGGAGACCATTTGTAGTAAGCACAGCAAAAGGCACGCTTATCTCGGTGGAAAAAGTTGCTTAACTTATTGACGTAACAATGGAAATCTCTGTACACTTACAAATAGTGAAATTGTGCTTAATATCTCCAAATGTGCAGAACAGTTAGCACAATTTCTAGAACTGTAAGACTTAAGATCATTGAACCTAACGGTGCTGAACCCAACAATATCTGACAGCAGTCACTTTCGGTAGAATTTTGTTGCTGAGAGCAGTGAACAAAAGGCCTTTTGTTCCAGCCGTTGGGTGTTGTTTGATTCAGGAGAATGGCAGCACAATTATGATAAGGGTTAGGGTTAATTTTATATGTCAATATGCAGACCTCCCACTGACTTTGGTTTTCTTTGCATTTAAGAATGAGAGCGTAAGCAGCCAGCCTACAAACTCTCAGCCATCAGGGAAGGTGGTTGGTATCGTCAAGCGTAACTGGCGGCCGTACTGTGGGGTTCTACAACCATCAAATAACACAGAGGTAGCTATTGAATGCTTTCTTATGAATCATTTCCATCTTTAGCTCAAGGAAATGTTTTGATAATTTAAAAAAATACTGATGTAGCAGCATTTCAGTTGTGGAATATTCTGACATTAGAGAGGCTGTCTGATGTCAGGGGCTTAATATTTGATGATATCCACAATTGAGTAAAATGATTGCGGTCGCACCATGTCTCAATCTCTTTCTTGAGTATTTGTGGTTCTGAGAAGAACCGGGGAATGACTCGACATTTCGAACAGTGTACTCTGTCCGTCTTCAGGAGACTGCTGTCCGAGTTATTCCCCGGTTCTTCTCAGAACCACACATACTCAAGAAAGAGACTGATACATGGTGCGACCGCAATCATTTTACTCGTCTAGTTTCTTTCACCATGAAAATCTTCAAGTCTTATATCCACAAGTGTTGAAAAAGAACTCAACCTACCTTGTGGTGCAGAGATACAACGAATAATACAGTTCTTATGAAGTCACTGATTCTGTGGTGTCAGGGTACCCGACATCTCTTCATGGCAGCAGAGAAGAAGATTCCCAAGATACGCATTGAGACCAGACAAGCAGCTTCTCTACAGGGACAGAGAATCATAGTCAGCATTGACAGCTGGCCTCGAAACTCTAGGTATCCCATGGTAAGTGCTGTCAGTTGATGCGAGCAGTTTGGTGGTGGTAGGGGAGATATTCACATTTCAAGTAGTTCATGGACCTCTCTCATTTTGATATTGTTCGTATGGGCGGCCAAAATTGGCTGATATTATCCCTTGTTGGGGCAAGCTTTGCCCCATTAAAAAATTAAAAATGTACATTCATGTGTTTTATTTACATTTAGTAGTAGTAGTCATTGGCTCACATGCCATAGTAACTATGTTGCCATGAAAGATTTGGTTAACAATGGTGAGTAAGCCTTTGTATTACCTTTGTTTTGGGCACAGTAAGATGGCTGCCGGTTGCTTCAGTGACCCATGTGGACTGATTAAGGGTATTGTGAGTCTGGACTTCTGTGTGTGATGTCGGTATTTGAAGGGTGTATTAGAGTAAGGAGTGAAAACGGTTCCTGGTGATGCTTCTCCAGAGGAATCGTTTTCATTTGATGCTCCCGTTTGTTTCAGGGCCACTTTGTGCGTCTTCTGGGTGAGATTGGTGATCGTGACACAGAGAATGAAGTCCTCCTTCTGGAGCATGACGTACCTCACCAGCCGTTCTCAGAGGCGGTACTCAGCTTCCTTCCCAAGATGCCATGGGGAATCACAGAAGAGGTGTGTATTGTCTGGGACCTTGGTTTTGAGGTCTTCTATCTTGGAAACTCTTCCAGGTTTTGCTGTCTCCTAACTAATAGCATGCCTGTGGTAAAATTCTAGTTGTTCTGTAATGAGAATGCTCTGCGTTTCAAAATATTCCAGGCGTTAAATTCCAGTTTTGACGGATCACACTTCACTGTACCCCTGTGTGTGTTTGTGCAGCCCTTAGAAAGCCTACATCTGTTCTTTTTAAGGGACAGTTGGTAATAAATTCTCTGTAAAGACTTTGGGTGGATTAATTATTTTGTCTAGTTGATTGGATTGGTAGCAAACTTTGTTATTACGCCTTGGTTTTGTTTATTGAAGGATGTGAAGGTTCGAGAAGATCTGCGACATCTAGACATCTGCAGTGTCGATCCTCCAGGATGTACAGACATTGATGATGCTCTTCACTGTCGAGAAATCAGCAACGGAAACTTGGAGGTGATTGATGTCAATTAGTTTCAAGCAAAACAGAGAGTTAGTGCTTGAGCCGCAAAGTAACAGATTTGTGTTGGGACCATCCATCACTCTCAGCACTAGAGGTTTTTGATGAGAGTTCAGAGGAATGTTCCGGGGTTATTTCAAAGAGCTGCTTAACAGGGCCTGATCTCATAGTGCTGCTAAGCACACAGAGGCCCTGGGAATATGATAGAGACCGTAAGTGCAGCAAAAGCCACACTTATCTTTGAGGAAAATTTGCCTAACTTTAAGCGACGTAACAGCAGAAATCTCTGTACACTTGCCAATAGTGAATAGTGCTTAAGGTTTGCAAAGCTGTAGTGAGTAAAACTTTTCTGCTAACTGTTAAACAGTGCCATGAAATTGGGCCCTAGAGTTAGTGCTTAATAAAGTTTCTGTGCTGATCAAAACTCAGCTCAGAACCATCTACATCTGTGCTTTATATTTCCAGCCGTTCCCTACTTTGTTGATTCACTGTGATATGTTTCTCTCAGTCGTCTAAGTTGATGGCATTCTTAACTTTTTCCATATAATTTTGAAATTATGCTAGGAAGATCTAAATATGAAGAGAGAATCGGAATGATTTGCTTCAATACCTCTAGTTCTATAATTTCAAACTTGTGGAAATATTGTTCAACCTTTTGTTTTCCGCCACACTTTAGGTCGGTGTACATATTGCTGATGTTACCCATTTCATCCGGCCAGGCAATGCATTAGATGATGAGGCTTTCAATAGAGGCACGACAGTGTATCTTGTGGACAAGGTAAGACATGCAAAATCTCATATCCATTCAGGAATGACACTTACAGATCACCTACAGCCATTGTGCAAAATGATATATTGTTTGCTTTTTCTTGTAATTGGTTAAATTATTTAGTATCTAACCTCAAAATTTCTATCAAAACCTCACTGGAAAAGATTACTCCTTGAAAGAGGAAGATGTCATTCCTCCTCGGAAAACTTGAGGGAGGAGTGTTTAAAACTTTAAATTATTCATCTGTATTTAATCTATCTTTTTTTCTGTTCCCAGAGAATTGACATGGTGCCTGAGTTGCTGAGTTCTAATCTCTGCTCATTGAGAGGTAATGAAGTGAGATTTGCCTTCACCTGCATCTGGGAGATGACACCCAAAGCTGAGATAGTCAACACCAGGTTCACCAAAAGCATCATCCGCTCAAGGGTAAATAAAGATGCAGCAATTTCTTAATTGATGTTGTTCTAGAGGACGAGTGGATTCCATGTGCAAATAAACCAGAACCATTTTTGTTTTGTTTTGTTACTTTTTTCTCATTGAGCTAGGAATCCTCAAAATCTCATTCCCTGTGTTTAAGAGAGTTATACATGTATATTGATCTTTGACTTCTGACAGGCTGCGTTTACTTATGAGGAAGCACAGCTAAGGATTGATGACAAGTCTATGAACGACAGCATAACTCTGGGCTTAAGAGGTCTGAACCGGCTGGCCAAGATACTGAAACAGAAGCGTTTGGATAATGGGTAAAGAAATGTTCAGGAAATAACCACACTTTTGATATAATAAAGATGCATTTCAAGGGTAGAACATGGATGGCTGCAGACAATCTTGAAGTTCAGTTTCGTCATAGCTGTCAGGGTTCTCCCCACGTACAAACTTGCTTATCGGGCCCGATACACAATTATTTCTGCCCAATATGCAAAAAAACGGGCCGATACCCATTTTTTCATCCCCTGGCTCATGGCTCAGAATTATCTCACATAAGGAGATTGCATGTCCGGAAAATCTAGACCAAAAAGCAGTTCCTGTTTTTTTCCGCGTACATGTACATACTATAGATAGCCTGCGTAGTACATGCATTGTGCACCACGCGTCGGCGGCCACACTGCACACCGTACATGTACATCAGCACCAAACGTTCCTCGTGGCGGTGTCGCTTGAAATCTGAACTTCTGTCATGAGCATTGTACATGCACCCGTGTGCTTGTGTGTTTTCTCTGTGCCGTGTGCTCAATATGCCAGTGGGGCTGCATTTACTAAGGTCAACATTTTTTTACTACACCATCCGCAGAACTTACATCGACCCCACACACTTTTTTTTTCATGGTGGCAGCCGTAGCCCTGTGTAACAGTATTAATGGCATCCACGACAGGGACAATATTTCCACGCCATGGCTTTGCAAAATGTTGGTAAACCACAATGGAAATCCCTCACAGTTTTGAAAAATCCTGGGGAGAACCCTCGCTGTTTTCTCCTGTTTTAATTTTTTCTTGGTTTTTATGTTGGTCTTGTACATGTTCAAAGTATTTCAATTTTCAAATTTTGTCTCAAATGTTTTACAAAGTAGCCAGCTCTGATGTTAATTATTGATGAGTTTGATTTAAATTTTTTTTTGCCTGAACAGTAAAGGTGCATGCAAGCTGTCATGTCACACTGAATATTGAAGCATTGTAAAAGTAAGCACTAGGTTAATACAGGCGATTCACAACAGTGCGCCTCCAAGAGTTTGCCAATCACAACGTGCGAAATCTGTCAACCCTTTCTAAATACACGCATTGGGTCGACAGATTTTGTTCACTGTGATTGGCCAACGCGTTGCATACTCTTGGAGGCGCACTATTGTGAAACGCCCATATTGGAAAGACTTCAATCATTTATTGTGAATTTTCCTTTGTTTTGCAGGGCACTTGTTTTAGCATCTCCAGAGATTCGCTTCAGCATGGATAGTGAAACACATGATCCCATTGAAGTACAGCAGAAAGAGTTGAGGTGAACTGCCATCCTTGTTACTAGTGTGGATTAAATGTTTGTCGCTCATAATTAATTTGTTTTGTTCGGTTTCTGTCCATTCCTTCTCGGTCTGCCTGTCTCCCTGGAAAATGAGCACTGTCATTGTGAAGGCTGTTATTACATCACAGGTCAAATGTCAACCCAGTCATAGGTCAAATCACAAGTCAGATTACAAGTCAGGCCACAGATTACAGGGATGAACAATGCTTTTATAAATTTTCATTTTAGTAGCTTGCAGCTTGAGAGTGTATGAACTTTTAGGGCTCATGATGGACTCAGCTACAACGTGGATCAAGACCACCAATTCAGACTAAATGACCGAGCATTTCGATTGTTTTGGACCAGAGAGACCAACTCCATGGTAGAGGAGTTCATGCTGTTGGCCAACATCTCAGTAGCCAAGCAGATCTTTGAGGAGTTCCCACAATGCGCCTGCCTGCGACGCCATCCCACCCCAGCTCCATCCAGCTATGAACCGGTTATCAAAGCAGCTCTTGCTAAGGTTAGCCCCAATCTGAAGTCGTCGCTCCTGAGAGTATATTGGTCTTAGTTCAGAACTTTCAGAAGGGACTCACCAAAATCTTTGCTGAAGTTACCTCCTTGTACCATTTAATTTCTATGTTTTCCAAATTCTTCACCGGAAAAGAAGAGACAGGCTGATTTGGAGAGTTTCTTAACCAGACTCTTGCATGCACCTGGTGCACATGCAAAGACCGTTTCATAATTGACTGTTGTACTTGCTCAGCATCAAATGCAAATAAACCTGTACGTGCATATTGTGCTTTCTCACCCAAAGGACATTGTTCTTGTCTAACTGCACAGTATCTCTAGTTCCTACAAGAAGCGGAGACTCAATTCTGTTTGCACAGATCACACACTTGCTTGGATAGAAATAATAATAATAGTAATACAAAATCAGATCAGAGGTTAACGCATTCTTAGAGAACAAGAGTTTTGAGTCACTGGGATAGGCCTGAGTAAACTTTTGTGCATTTGTTGTAACTAAATTAAAGTAACAAAAACAGCATCCGAGACACCATGGAGATGCCAGCAACATATAACCTCCATTTCAAACAACTGTTTTGAAAAGTCTTTAAAAAATCTCATCATCCTAGGGAGTGAAGTTGGAGGTGGACAATGGCTTTGCCTTAGCCAGGTCTTTAGACAAAGCCGTGCTATCAGATGAACCCTTCTTCAACACACTCCTCCGCATGATGACCACGCGTTGCATGACCCAAGCCCTATACTTTAGTAGCGGCACCCTTCCCTATGAGGATTTCTTCCATTACGGGTTGGCTGCCCCCATCTATACCCACTTCACCTCACCAATCAGAAGGTAAAACACCAATTTCCCTTGTCTCTTTGAAGAACAAGGCTATTTTACAATATAGATTGTCTTCATTGAAGAATTTATTATATTGGGTACGTTTTGCCCTTCACCGACATATATTTGTTAAGAATCCTGAATGTACAGTTTTTATATAGATGGGTAATTCCAGAAATTAGGGGTCCAAAAGTGTGACATTTTTGTGTCCCTGTTACATCTGACCTTCGTTATTTGACATGGAAATATCATCAGAATTGATTTCAAACGATGACTGTTGTTTGACAGGTAATTTGCAATTAGTCATCACTCTTGGAAATTAGAAAATGTGTTCTAAACTTACAAAATCATGTCATATGTAACAGGGACAGGAAAAAATATGGACCCCTAATTTCTGGAGTTACACATATGTTGATGGAGGACAAAATGTTTATCATAAAATTGACTCCCCAATGTAAATTACAGTGTTTGAACCCATTTTGGATGGAAGTTATACAAGATCTTACAAAGAGAAGCTAAATCACTCTGGGTCAGCATTAACTGAAATAACCAAATGTTGAGTCCTCAATCCTTCACCTGTGGGGGGTGATAGATTAATAGGCTTTATCTTTTAATTGGAGTAACCTATGAATAACACTGCCGTTACCCATCATGCAGATGAAACATTGCATTTGAAATTGCAAAAATCTTTTTGAGGAAGAAAATATTGATAAAACAGAACTACACAATATACATGTATGTGTCAAAGTTTGCGCCTTACAGTGTTTTGGAACAAATCTGTAATCCTGAAAGCAGAATTTAGAATGTTGGGTTTTATCTTTGGCAGATACTCTGACATCTTGGTCCACCGAGCCTTAGCTGTGGCCATCCATGCTGACCAGTCCTACCCATCACTCTTGGACAAACAGAAAGTGCAGGTAAACTTGTGTTACTTTTAAAGCTGAGTTTTGCCTGAGACAATAATTACTATAGTCATTAATAAGTCTACACTGATCACAGTGGCTTGATATCTTAGTTACTTCATTGAATTATATACATATGGAAGTCTCATATTGGCGATGTGTACTTTTAACATTGTTTCATGATGGTCCTTGATTACAAAAAGAAGTAATAAAATTAGCACAATGTAAGAGTGTTTAAAGTTAAAACAGTTATTTGCCAAAAGGAAGAATAGTTGAAATAATGTTACTGAGATTCGTGGCATTTGTAATTTGGTTCTACGAGTATTGATAAAAATCAAATGACCTGTCATTAAAGCTCATGCACTGACCTAACTATTTGAAACAAGGCACCAGACAAGGTACCATGTGATCTTGTCAGCATTGAATCAGCAGAGAAATGAAAACTTGGTGAAACTTGTCTTTTGTTTAGCAGCCATTTGCTAGCAAATAGTATATTAACAGACATTTTTCACGTTGCAAACTATTTGCATAGCAGAAGTATCACCGTTGGTTGGTCGGTTTTTCCATAAAATGTTCACTTGTTCCACTAGTTTTAAGGAGGGTCCTGTTTCATTTTGTATTAACTAGCATTCAAAAGTAGCATTTATTATTTGGTGTTTTGATAGCTACGAGAGACATTTTAACACGTTGTGAGCTACTCTTTTGCCTTTGTATTGATGGCCAGCCATTTACTAGTGACCAGGCAGAAATATGACTGTGACATAGGCAGAACAGACCATATTAGGGTGTCGATTGATTTGCTGGTTTTGAAATAATCTGACAACAACTACTAAAACATGTTTACTGAAATGTTTGCACACTGGTGAAATGCATTCTTTAATTTGGGGTACCGGTATATTTGCAGTTTGTTAAATTTTACATTGTTGGACAACAGAATGCAAAGTTTGGGAATAGAATAATGCTTGAAAAGTGAAATGTAAAAGTGAACTTTGAAAAGTGAACACTACTTCAGTTTTAAAGAATTAGATCGTCAATTGATCTGTATTTGCTGTGCCCATATTGAGAGAGAGAGGGAGAGAGAAGATATTGTAATGACCAAATTGTAAACTTATTGCAAAGTTGGGTTGGTAGAATCCGAAAACTTTTGTCTCTTTGATGTGGAATTAGTTCCTGACTGTTGGTAATTCTTCTGCCAGACCATGTGTAACCACCTGAATATACGTCACCGCATGGCGCAGTATGCAGGCCGGGCGTCAGTAGCTCTTCACACTCAGGTAAGTGCCGTTATGCTTCACAATCACTCTGTAGATCATGACTCTGTAACAGGGAGGATTTCTCGACCTGAGTAAAGTAGTTTTGCCAATACAGAAGAATTTGAATTTATTTATTCTTTAAGTGGGACAAAAAAGTTTTCATTGTTATCATAGTGGAATGTTACTTTCAAAAACCTTTTCCATTAAAATTTTAAAATGAAAGGTATATATGAGGTCAAATACTAAGTTAACTTTTTAACGGGCAGTAACGAAGCTTGAACATTAGCCAAACAGATGACAAAAGTTTGGTTTTGGATGTGATGTTGTAGGTCAGTTGAGCTGTGTCACCACAGTTCACCTTGATGGGTGGAAGTCATCAGAAATAATACCAAAAGGCAGCTGCATCTGTAGGGGTTCCGTAGAGATGACCACTCAGGCACTGGTCACTCTCTGTTGGATATTTGTTGCTGGAGCCCGACTCACATTAGACAAACTTATTGTGTCGAAAGGTTGTGATAAGCCCAGTTTAAAATGTTACCAAATTTGTCTTCAAGGTGTCAATCTTCATTTTCTCCCCCAAATCCTTGTGAACTAAATTTCATTTACCCCTGTCCTGGAAATGGGTTCAGAAATATATTGGCCTTGGTTTTGACATTCAATCGGGATGAAAACTTTAAGCATCAGGTGAAGCGGAATTGTAGACTAGTTGGTGTTGGTGGTTGACTCTAACATCCAGACAGAGATTCATCTAGGTTTGAGACACATCACCTGAATATTTATGTCCCACACAGTCAGAACTACTTTTTGTTAACATAATGGGCCGAGCTGTAATATCATGCAGCCTTGTACTGTAGTAGGAAGTTTCCCGTTTTATTGCCACTGACATCATGCGGTTGATCTGGAATGACCTTATTTGTATATCTCCATTGAAATGCTGTTATCTGTAAGTCACCTCGTTCCTTAAGCCTATGCCAAACCCATCTGATAACATTAATACCCAGAAATCAACCAAGGCATATTTGTTCTCTGTAAATACTGTCTGATAAGGCTGGTTCTAATCGCCATGGGGGTTTGTTGGGGGAGGGGGTTGTTCTTTGTTTAAAAGATGAGTCATATCATTATTTGGATTCTTTCTTATATATATTTTTTTTATCAATAGTTGTCATCCTTAGAATTGCTCCATCAAATCCTGAATTCTAGTACAGTAAGAATAATGTAAAGACAATCATGTGACAGCATCAGCCCCAGCGTGAATGTTCCTAACTTCATTCAGAGTAGGTTCCTGTTGTGAATAGATTATCTTTTCATCATTGTTGCAATATTTCCCGATATCAAACAGCTGCATAGTGCGTTATTCCGATCAGAGACAAGTCAATTTTTGTCATTGTCTCCCCACGGTCAGCCCATCACGGCCCCTCACGGCCCCTCATTCAAATCCCACAAACTAATCAGGTGACTCATAACTTAGCTTGCAGTGTGTCCGCAAGTATCTGTCTGGGTTCTAAGCGGCATATATTGGCGTCTGGCTGTGGGCAGGTAATTAGACACGAGGGAGCTTGATTTGTATAATGGTTTGGTCCTTCGATTGTTATATACTCTGGCTGATGAAAGGCTATTGAAAGAAATTGTGACTTCTCAGCTAGTCATAGTATTTAATAACTCATGAGTCATCTGACTATTCGCAGTTTCTCCTCCAAAACGTCAAACATGTACCCGAATTATTTGTATTAATATGATACAAATAAATAAGTGATTGTTTGTCATTAATTCTACATGTATGCAACTGCAAATAGAAATGAAAATATCAAAATAAACAAATTCTACACTTTACATGTATGTCTCTGTGCAATGCTTGCATGTAAATGCTGAATAGATTATCGTAATCTCAGTGTGTCACATACAGGTTTGTAGTGTGTAGGGTTTGACCCTCATGTATGCTAAACAAAAAAACCAAACCAAACAAAAAAAATATTGTACCTACTGCATGTATGTCCATTCACAATACTTATGCCAATTAAATCATCTTAATCTCAACATGTCAAATATGCAATGTGTTGGGTTTGACCCTCCAGTAATTGAAGTACACATGTAAATAAGAACTTAATGACATTCTGCGTTGAAAGGGCAAAAAGTGTAAGATGCCTGAGGCCAGATTTATTCCTGCTGGAGGTAAAGTTGCATATGTATGGCTCCAGAAAGTGGATATTCCATGTATAATTGAATCAACTTTAATATCATGTACAGCATACGTATATTGTACATATCTGTACATCTATGTGCTTGTTTCGGCTGTACATGTATGTACATAGATTTATCTCATGCATGTGTGCGGCCTTTTTTTTTCTTGTGACATGCATTTTAAAAATTTGCAAAGCATTACACTTTTCAAATCACCACTTTGCAGGTTATTTTCAGAATGCTTAAATTCTATTTTTTTTAAATTGATGATCTGCATACGGTTAAACTGAATTCCGACATTAAATCCAGAATGGTTTTCTATGCACACTAGCAAGGATTTCATTAAAACAAATAATCCAATTTGTAGCTTTCATGAAATCTTCGGGAAGAAACTGATGCTGTGTATTTTGCACATTAATAATGGAAAAGATAATTGGTTTGATGTCATGAAGTTGCTTATTGGAAAAGTAGTTCCGGCAAATGCATTCTAAGTTTTAAAAAGTTGCATCCGAGCCAAAGGAAGTGAAAGAAAAGTGAACCTGATTTTTTTTTTCAGTTTAATCCATAAGTGTTGTTAGGAATGTAAGCTGAAAGTGCAAAATAACGCCTTTTCCTCAATGTTCCATGCTGTTTACTTAAATTAATTGTGTTTCAGGAATTGGAATACAAAATAGTGCCATTAAAGTCACCAACAATTTCTAGGGCTGCTGTACACACCCACACCTGTCTACTTTTGATTGGTGGGGATGGGGGAGTAAAGTAGTTCCGGCAAATAGTTTTTATTTTACTTCATTTCCTGGTGCCTTGGTAATGGTGGAGCCACACAATCATTGCCCAACTCATCGAGGAAGTATGCATTGTCAAATGAACTTTGACTTTTGGCAGAGTTGACCTGGTGTACTGTTCCACAGAGCCCCATCAATGATAGCTCTTCACAAGGGCAGAGGAAGTCAAAGTTTCAGCTTAAGAGTGTACATGTATATTATGATTATGAAATACTCTGCCAAGAGTCTAGTATGTCAAAGATATATTTCAGTGATGGGGTATAGGGAGTTTCATTTACATCTACAGTGCATAGACCCACATGCATTAACATAAATCATGAATGTAGGTTGAACTGGTGGTAGGGTTTGGAGGCCACACTTGGTGATTGAGTAGAAGTACATGTAAATTCAGGATTTAAGGTGAATGGGGATGCTGCATAGCAAGTGCAGTTGGAATTTTTATGGAAAGGAAATCTGGGTTGATAGACAGTAACTCTCATGGGTGTGGCCAATGCACAAAGTACTCGACTCGGACCAAAAATTCCTCCATGCTTGAATTATGCTTGACCCATGCTTGACCACAGTTGAGTTCGGGGTACATGTAACATGCACATGTACATGTAGAAGCCACATCCCCTTTGTATGTTTGTGTCACAAGTTCCTTTTGTCTCAAATTGCACATCAGCAGTGGCATACAAGTAGCTTTCTCTTAATTTCACATAATTTGGTGAATTTTGAAATATTATGTTTTGTGAGTTGGCAGAGATGGATTATCAGGATATGTGTCAGTTCCTTAAAACATACCTTAGTTCTTGGGTTGCATTAGCATACGCCTACACATATGGTGAAACCAACAACCACTGATGTTCAAAGTTTCATGATATTGGATTTTGTACAGGATTATGCTGTTCACATAGATTATGTACCATTCATACATATGTACATGTAGGCCCTATTGTTTGATTCACAGTGGCAAATACCCAGTGTAGCCAACATCCCGGGGAAAGACTTTGGTCTATATTATTACATTTGCAATAAACAGGTACTACACTGTGGGTGTGACCTTTCCTGTTCATTATGATAAACTGTTTTTATTCTGTGAACCCTCATGACCGTATTCAGAGGTACATTATAAATTGTAACTGTCTGACAACATGCCTGCACCTAGTTTCAGTGGACAGTTTCTTTTTGATCCACACCTGTCAGTGCAAAAAGGAACTACCGGTATTTGTGAGCCTTTTTTGTCAGCTGTGATGAAGATGATATACAGACCAAATCCTGGATTAAAAACAATTTCCTGGACAACAAATACTCTGGTTATTGCTAGGATATCTTGCGCCACTTGTCTGATGTACATTTACATTTATGAGACCCACGTCCCACTCTACAACAAGCAGAGATAAAACCTGGTATCGGGACCAGGTGCAAGTCCAGCAGGAGTTGGTGTGGTATTAATAGGCAAGGCTTATTTTCCCTGTCATAAATTGCCCCGCCTGTCATAAAATTGTAAACATTGGCAAAGCATGGGACAGAGTGTCCTTTGTTGGTTGCAGCTTGCATGTTCATAGAAGAATTCTGTGAGTGCTTCAAACTTGGCAATCAAAAAAGATCAAAGATGTGCAGAACAGACAAACATACATGTTGGCTCTAGACATTGTACCTGCTACTGCAAACCTTAAATGGAAAGTATGTTCATAGCCCTAACAGTCCCAAATCCTCCGATTTCAATATGATTTTACATACACCCTAGGGGGTTAGGGCTTAATACAGCCCATGTCTGTGTGAACAATAGAATTGAGATATTGACAACACCTACGTGTGCCAGTTCCCTTTTTAGCCTTCATGTCATTTGCTCAATTCTGCTCAACCAGCCAGTGCACTGGCTTTATGTGTTTTCATGTGCATTTATGAACTCAAAACATGACAGCATTGTTAGAGCAGCAATAAATTAGAACTGTCAGTGTAAGCCATCAAACTCAACACCAAGCCCATATTTATTCTGCAGCTGATAGGAGTCGTGGATATTGTTCGTGGGTGGAGACTGTTGTTCTTTTGACATTCCAAGGACTGTCTGGTGCA